GGATATCCACCAGTGGCGGCGGGAGGATATGGATATCCGCCGGCAATGGCATATCCTCCGCCAACGCAGTATGGATATCCACCACAGCAAGGTGGACATGGATATGGGTATCCACAGGTGCAACGGCCGGCGAAGAAGAACAATAATTTGGCGTTAGGATTAGGGGCGGGTTTGCTTGGTGGAGCACTTGGAGGAATGATAATCGGAGATGCAATCTCAGATGTTGGAGGAGGTTATGATGGTGGATTTGGTGATATTGGTGGATTTGATTTCTGATTCTTTTTTTAGTTGTAATTCGAGTGTTTTTATTTCATGAGTAGAAATTAGTTCTTGTGAAAATTGTGATATTACGAATTTTTTGATGACATAAATAAAGCAACATTTAAACATAATATTCCATGAATGTATTGTCCATTTTGAGTTTTGATTATTTTGATTCTCTAACTTCTTTCGATCAACTGTTTCATTGTGGGGGACTGCTATGACAAATACTACTACTACTGTAAGTAGGACCATCACAAGGACAGGCCCAACCTTGAGTCACACTCAACAAATGGCTTTATGTGCAGTGGTAACTGAGAAGGAAATTTATGATGGGCTCTGTTCTATAAGTGATGATAAGGCACCAGGGGTAGATGGATACAATGCTGTTTTTTTTAAGAAGGCATGGCTAGTAATTAAATATGACATCAATGAAGCAGTAATGGAGTTCTTCATGACTGGTAAACTTTACAAAGCTGTTACTTGTACTGTTGTTACACTGCTTCCTAAGGTACCAAACCCATCTAACATTTAAAGAATATAGGCCCATAGCTTGTTGTACTGTCTTGTATAAATTCATAGTAAAAGTGTTGGCTAATCGAATTCAAAAGGTGATAGCAACTGTGATTTCAAAAACTCAGGCTGGATTTATTCCGGAAAGGGGCAGATAACATCATCCTTGCACATGAGCTAGTTCAAGCCTATAATAGGAAAAATGTCTCACCTAGATGCATGATAAAGGTGAATATCCAAAAGGCCTATGACACTGTTGACTGGAGATACTTAGAGCAAGTAATGGCAGGTTTGGGATTCCCAAAGAAGTTTATTGATTGGGTGATGCAATGTGTAACTATTGTTTCCTACTTTTTCTTGATCAATGGAGAACTGACTAAACCTTTTGAGACAGCTAGAGGGCTAAGGCAAAGAGATCCTATATCTCCTTTTTTGTTTGCTATAGTAATGGAGTATTTGACCAGGAATTTAAATGATTTGGCAAACCACAAGCAATTCAAATATCATCCAAAGTGCAGCAGGCTCAAGATTACTCACCTAAGTTTTGCAGATGATCTACTGATGTTTGCAAGAGGAGATTCAATATCTATACACATGTTACATGATAAATTCAATGTGTTCACAGCAACTTCAGGATTACAAGCTAATCTATCTAAAAGTGTCATGTATTTTGGAGGGGTTTCAAGTATGGTTCAGAGGCAAATCCAACAGGACTTGGGGTACAGTTTTGGTGTATTACCTTTCAGATATCTAGGGGTGCCATTGGCTACTAAGAAACTTAGCATTCCTCAATGGCAACCTTTGATAGATCGAATTGTAGCAAGGATCTCCTCCTGGACAACTAAAAAGTTATCTTATGCAAGGAGAATACAATTAGTTAGGACAGTGATATTTGGAGTGCAAGCTTATTGGGCTCAAATATTTGTGCTGCCAGCTAAAGTGATGAAAATAATCCAAGCATACTGTAGAAGCTATATTTGGTCAGGAGCAAATGTGATCACTAAGAAGGCACTTGTATCATGGGACAATATGTGTACACCAAAATCTACTGGAAGGCTTAATCTGGTAAATCTAAAAGTGTGGAACAAAGCAGCCATCCTAAAAATGTGTTGGGACATAGAACAAAAACAAGATAGGCTATGGATTAAATAGATTCACAGCTATTACATCAAAGGGCAAAGTATGGAAGAGATCAGAGTGCCTAATCAAGCTTGTTGGATGGTCAGGAAGGTTCTAGGGATGAAAGATTCGCTGCATCTACTGCATAATGGAGCTGCGGGAAAGAAAAGTGTGATTAGACAAGTTTATCAACAAATGCTTGACAGATATCCAAAGGTTGAATGGAGAGGCCTTATTTGTCGAAACTCTGCAAGGCCAAAAGCAATTTTTACACTATGATTGCAGGTTCAAAATAGGCTCCTCACAAGGGACAGACTGCTAAAATGGAGAATACAAGTGGATCCTATATGTGTTATGTGTCACCAAGTAGCAGAAATAAGAGATCACTTGTTCTTCAATTATATGTTTGCTAGCATGCTGTGGAGGAGACTGCTCCAATGGATAAATCAACCACTAGCAGTACCATTATTACAAGACACCAATGGATCATATTGAAGACTAAAGAGAGAAGTCAACAAGCTCAAGCCCTAAAGTTGATCTATACAGAATATATATATGCAATATGGAAGGAGAGGAATACAAGAATCATTGAGAAACATGAGACCACAGTGGAGGTTATAACCCGAAGAATTGCTTGTGTGTGTTGTGTTAAAGCAAATGTAGCAGCCAAGCTATTCCTAGATAATTGTAGTTTTTAGAGTCTGTTGGTTTTGTTAGTTGCAGCTAACTAGTTTTATTGAGATAGCCAGTAGAGTAATGCTGGCTTAGTTTTGTAAACACTACTTTGGTGATTAATAAAAGTTCTAATTACCAAAAAAAATAAAATAAAAATTGTTTCATTGTGATACAATATTGATGCATGGATGAAATTCTAAACTGATGAGGATTGAATGTAAGCACTTTCATCTAGGGATGGCAATGGGGCGGTGTAGGGCGGGGGCGGAGCGGGTTGAGCTTAATTCGCAAAATTTTTAATCCGCCCCGTCCGCCCCACATAAGAACTCTTTTCATTTTCAACCTGTCCCGCCCCGCCCCACATGAACTCGTCCCGCATAATTTTTTTAATATTTTCTTTTTCTACTATGCTTGATACTAAAAATAAATTCATTTTTTCATTAAGTTTTATTAATTTAATAGGATAGTGACTTAAAATTTTATTTTTTAAAGGTCAATTGGGAAACATGTAAGAAATTGTATTATTATTATTTATTGAGCCATTTTTATTTATTATCTTAAATATTTTAGTAGCTTTAATGAAATTATCTTAATAAATAATGTTCTATCACTCTTATAACATGTAAAGAGTGAAAATTAAGTTTGAATCCACATAAAATCACATATACCCGCAACCCACCCTGCCCCACATTAATTTTAAAAAAATCCACTTCAACTCACCCCGCATCTGACCCACCCCACACAACCTTAAACCCGCACCGCCTTACATAGCCTTAAATCCGCCCCGCCCCGCCTCGCCCCACATCCGTCCCGCCCCATTGCCATCCCTACTTTCATCAACTTTGCTTCGCAACTAAGATTATAAGGGCGGATTTATGTAGGTCGGGTGGGCTGCCATGCCTTGCAATGGTCTCAGTATATATATTTATAATGAAATGTATAAATATTAAACGTGACATTCTTAGAAATAATAAGGACTTAATATTTTACAAGGTCATTGAACTATGATAAATTATCTTGTAAAATATATTTTATGCTATGTAATCATGGCCACACAAATAAATAAAATTATAAAATATATTTATTAATATACCCACCTACCCACCCACAAATTGCCTTCTTCTAAAAGACTAAAACCCTATTTCTCTTGTCAAATCTCCCGCTTCTTCTACTTTCTCTATTTCTCCCAAAATTCTCATCTACAAAGAGGCACTGTAAAATCTATTTTAAGGTTGTTGATGCTGAAATTTTTCATAAATAATGAATTCCTTAATTTCTTCGAGGAATAATGTGATGAAATTTGTATAAATAAGCAAAACACAAGTAAATGGATTCCTTCATTTCTTCAGTGGTAATATAGTCTATGCCATTGAATTTAACATTTATTTCCAATGTTGTTTAGAATTTTTTTAATTGTTGGTGATAAAAAAGAATTTTTAATCGTCTGTAATAGTCCCAAAAGAAAAACGTTACGGATTTTATTGCAAAAACAAAATTTAAGAGGGGAAGACATAAAAATGAATAAATTTTATAATTTTGTTTGTTTGTGGGATTACCTGACATTAAAATAAATAAATTTTATAATTTTATTTATTTGTGGGGTCCATGATTACATGGCATAAAAAATAATTTAATTTGTCATGTTAAATTTGTTTTAATGATAAATGTAGTTTAATGATTTTAGAAGATAAAAGTGTTAAAGTTGAGTGATTTTAGTGAAACAAAATAAAATTTAGTGATTTTACAAGATAATTTCTCATAGTTCAGTGACCTTTTGAGATATTAAGTATTAACTCAAACAATAAGGGGCGTTTGGTAGGATGCAAGTGGTTAAAGCTCAAATTTATTGTCTGCCTTCATTCCAAACACTTTTCAAGTATTTAAAGAAGTGACTCGATGAAAAATCACACATGAATTATTCATGAATCTAAAAGGTGACCAAAAAAAATCACACATGAATTTTACATCATAATGTACTATCATTCAAATCACAAGTGTTAATACTAGGTAAATACAAAATCGATCTCGAAAGAAGAATTTTCGAGAATCAATTCGATCATTAATAAAATCAACTAATGTATGGACACTTTCAACAATAACATTAGTAATATACTACTCCCTCTATCCCAATTTATGTGACACATTTCATTTTTCGAGAGTAACAATTTAAATTTGATTGAAAATTTCCGCATAAAATCTTAATACTTTTGAAATGAAATTATATATTTGTAAACTATGTAAAAAGTACTGTAAGTCACAATAATTGACAATTCAAAATATTTAAAAGATATATACAAAATTATGGTCAAAGAAAAACTTGTTTAAATCTCGATATTCAAAATGTGTCACTTAATATGAAACGGAGAGAGAGAGTAATATATAAGTATATAACAAATAATCATTAAGCTCATATGAAGACAAACTATCACTCACACTTTGTTCATTCAAAATGTTTGAAGTGTTAGTTTAACTATTGTACCTTCATGTTCACGAGAATATTCTTCTTTACCTTGAGAAACAACTTCCGTTGCCATTTTCTCAAACACCTCAACCGTTGAAACTTGTGTTCTTCTATCAAGAATTCTTACAAAGAGAAGAAAGACAAGTAAGAAGGTTAATTAAGATGATGTTTGTAGAAACTCTCTCACTTCATTCCACACATTCTTTTATTTTTCCAATCTAGAATTGCAACCATTCACTCCCTTGCTCCTTTATATGTTTTGTTTCTCATTCATGGGACTTAAAATAAGTGCTCAAAACTCATTGGTGAGGATTAGAAAAAGCATGTGCTAAGAGAAATCTCCCTCTTTTGTCTATGATATTC